AACTCGTACGGGCAAGTATATTATTTTCTATTTTTCCCCGTTGCTGGGGCTGGGGAGCCGCGCACTCCAGGGAGCAGCGCCAGGAGAGGCGGGGCGAGGGGGGTGGCTGCGGGTCGGTTCGGGGTGCTGGCTTTTGCACGAGGTGCCCGCAGACGGGAGGGGTGTCTTCCCCACCCAGGGACGAGAAGCTGCCAGCAGCGCTCGGGGCGGCAGAAGGAGACCCCTGCAGCGCTCTGCACTGCCGCGGGACCGCCGGGATGCAGCCGCGACACCGGTGGGTGGGGATGGATGGATGGATGGATGGATGGATGGATGGATGGATGGATGGATGGATGGATGGGTGGAGGGCGGTCCCTGGCCCCGCAGAGATCAAGACAGCCCCACGCCTTCCTGGGCTGCTTCCAGGAGCCCTGGACACCGAGGAGAAAGGGAAGGAAAGAAGGGGAAGGAAGGGGGAGGGAGAATGAGGTCCTTCAATGACACTCATTACTCTGCCACCAGAATGATCTCCTCCAGCCACCGTCATGCCCACAACAACCTTTCAATCGGGACCAGGGTGCCCATGAAAAGGCCACCTGCAGAGTGGTACACACACACCATCCTGGCACCAATAGTGCCTGCAAGGGACAGTGAAGAAATTAGTGCCTTCTATTTCCACCACACCTTCCCTCCCCTCACAGTCCCCACTGGGTCTTCTTGTCCTCTTGGTGCACCCCAAAACTCCCTTCGGCTCCCAGGACTGGATGTCCTTCACTGGGAGCAGAATGGGGGCTTTTCTCCTCACACTGGGATGCAGGTAATGGAATGCAGAGCAGAAATGTCCTGCATGTGCCCACACTGCAATCAGGGGAGAGATCAGACAGCCTCACTATGTTTAGGGTTATTGCTTCCCCAATTAAGTCTGAAACTCCCAATCTATGATAGCAAAGCCAATACCATGAAGTGCTGCTCAGAATGATGTCTTCAGAAATGCAAGAAGCCCTGTTCCTAAAGCTGTTGTAGGTGCCCACTGCCTGCTGGCATCATTTGAAGCTGATCATCCTGATGAGAATGAGGAGTGATAAATGCTTATGCTACCTTCTTGGGCCTCTGTAGTTTAAAATCTGGCTCCATGTAGCTTTGTGTCTTACGTTCAGAATTTTAGTCCTACTTCTTCTAGTGCTGTTAATGTTATTAAAGCTGTGCTATCAAGCACACACACCAGTTTAGAATTTTCTGAAGAGAAGCTTGCTGAAGGTAAAAAGCCTTGTCTCTGTGTGTGAGACATGCCTGCAATAGCCTAGAATTTATGGCTGACCTTCATGCTGGGAAGACCTGGTGTAGTCTTCCTGATAACTAATTTAATTCATGGCTTGCTTTTGCAGTAGTCCCTAACATATAGTAGAGTTTGTGTGGGTCTGGTACTCTATTGGATGTCACTGGAAATGCTGCATGCTAACTCTGCATGTTCTATCCTGTGTAAAAATGAAGCTCAGATACAGTCAGTAGTGCACACATCACTGCAAATCCTACCATCACTGACAGCCTTGCCTCCAGATTTGTCACCAAGAGGCCTATGCTTGTATAACACAGAATTAAACACTTGCAAGTGAAGGAGAAACCAGTGGCAGTGCATGTGCAAGGGCTGTCTGGTTACATCGCTGGTGTTGCTGTGTGAGAGCACAGGCTGGGGAAAAAAAATCACTCTCACCCTCTTCAATCATCAGCACTTGGGTCACCAGTAAAGAGTCTGTGTTTTACTTTACTGAAAGGAGGTCCCCCAGGTCTGTGGTACTTGGTGGGAGTTCAGGGAAGAGCTATGGTCTCTTGCCCACAAGATGCCCAAGAAGAAGCTCACCCTGCAGAGGCTGCCCATCCCTGCCTGCCCTGTGGCAGTGCCATGCCTCGACCTCAGCACTCTGGGGTACACATGAAAGCATACCTGCTCATTTGAAAGCACTCAGGCACTTTCAACATCATAACTCCGCTCAGAGACCACTTAAAATACGTAGTAGGTAGAGATACCTATTGCTTTCTTTACAATCAGTTTTGAAAAAAACAACTCCTCCTGAAATAAAAGGCCAGCCCTGTGCTAATGGCAAAATCTCTACTGGTGCAGTTCTATGGCTTTGCAAAGAGTTACAAAATCCAGAGACAAACTAGGTTAAACATATGGATTAATTGGTGTCTAATATTTTGTTGAATTTTAAGGATATGCCTAAATTTACACAACAAGGCACGCAGTAAGTTCAGTAATAAAAGGTAACTTTGTCTCTACATTGTTGCTATATTAGGCAATAATTAGTTTGGTATTTAACCAGCATTTGTTAAAGTGAGTGTGTGAGGACAATGTGTGCAGTGCATATTTACTGTCAAAGCCTAAGGAAGTAAGTGTGACTTTGTGCCTAGATTTTCCTAAAGCACACACACTCCCAAATATAGGCAGACAGAGAAAACTGGAAGGCGGTCCCATTTCACATGGAGGAAAGATGTAAAGACCTGTGCTTGGTTCCTGGCCTTGCTGCCTCATCACTGACATCAGTTTGTGTCAAGCTTACCAAAAACCCTGCTGCTGTAACACTCCATTTGAGAGGCAGGGGGGAAAGGATAATAAACTTTTTTTTAATTGCTTCCCTGGCTATAAATTAGCATGCACTGGGCTAATTTTTTTTTTTTTCTGTGAACAAAAGCACAATTGACAGCAAGGTTTAGGGAAAGTAGGAAGGGAGCTCTGAGCCTCAAGGCTCCCCTGTGTATTGAACCTGAGCAGGGGGAGGCCTTTTCTGTGCCCAGAAGCTGAAGGACACCAAGAACTACAACAGAAAACAGGGATTTTTATGTTTCACTGACTGTTTTTGCAGCTGCATCTTCCGCCCATCTTCTCCTCCCCCAATTATTTTATGTGAGAACCAAGTACGAAAACAGAAGCCATGGCTTTCCCTCCTGATACACTCAGTGTGCATAAAACCAGGGCAGAAATCAGCAGAGATCTGGGGTTAGTTATAAGTAAGTGTTATGGACAAAAGCAGAAACTGTTTTTTTGCTTCTGCACCATATTTCTTGCCAGTTGTCCCAGAAGTAAACACAGGACTGAAAGTCACCAACTGCACTGTGGGTTCAGTGTGCTCCTCTTTGTATCCCTGAGGCTCCTGATGGCATTTGAAGAGGAGCTGGCAGAGCCCACTGAGCTCTGCCTTTCCAGCTACCCTTCCATTCATGCTTCCATTCAGTCCTAGAACATCTGATAAACCATTTCTTCCCATGGTAAAAGATCATCTAAGGTTATCTTTCTCTGGAGCTGTCTGTGGAAGCCCTTATGCTACTTCTCCTCTGGTGCATACAGTTACCAAACTGAACAAAGAACCAACTACAAGTAAGAGGTAGATGGACGTGAACCACAACTTTCAAAGCAAATGTTAACAGAGATGTGACCTAAGAGATGGGGAAATACTGCTGGAGAGTGGCTGAGAAATGGCTGAGGGATGGAGATGGAGAAGACAGATGCATGCCTATTCTCCCATGCTCCACAGTGGATTCATCCCTTGCTCTCAGCATCCTTAGGCACAAGGATAGGCTGAAATAATGTTTTTGAAGCAAAGGAAAGTGTGAACATCTTCACTATTTGTAAAACAAAAAAATAATCTAATTGAAGGCTAGGTGCACAATGAGATGAGTCACTAAAGGAAAGGGACAAGATTACTTTAGAGCAGATTAGGCAAGCATCTGCCACAGGGCCTTCATGAAAGAGTGGACTAGGCGTACCCTGACATCTTTTACAGTAATTTTCTATACTATAAAAAATTTTTAATGCTATAAAATGTATAGATGCAACAAAAAACAGAGGAAAAAGAGGAATCTTATAAAATTAAAAAGGGAAGAATAGGAAACTTACTTTCCTAACTTTCTTGCCTAAACATCTACCCAATGAACAGTTTCCCCCTTTGGAAATATTTTTCTAAAAGTTATTTCTTTCTTTCTTTCTTTCTTTCCTTCCTTCCTTTCTTTCTTTCCTTCTTTCTTTCTTTTCTTTCTTTCTTTTTCTTTCTTTCTTTCTTTCTTTCTTTCTTTTCTTTCTTTCTTTCTTTTCTTTCTTTCTTTCTTTCTTTCTTTCTTTCTTTCTTTCTTTCTTTCTTTCTTTTTCTTTCTTTCTTTTTCTTTTTTCTTCCTTTGTCTTTTTCTTTCATTCTGTCTTTCTCTCTCTCTCTCCCCCCTCCTCTCTCTCTCTCCAAGGAAGACCTACAACACTAATATTTAGAGAGATAAAGAAGTCTCTGTATTTTTGCATGTACCCTCCCTGATTTCTTCAATGTTCTTCTTAACTCAGTGCAACTTTGCCTCAGGGACCAGATTGTGGTGGGCTGGAAAACCCAGGACACAGCCTTCTGAAGAGGCAGGTACCCTGCCTCATCCACTACATACTCACTTGAGGAGATCCTCTCTCTCAAGATACCTTCCCTTACCATTTATAAGGAGCCATGTGTGAAAGCCGCTCTCCCAGGACTGTGTCAAGCCTCCCTCCAACCAGAAATCTCAGTAGATGCTGAAGGTGTGACTGGTCAACTATGACTCCCAGGCTGAGTTTCCTGACAGATACTGATTTCATGTCGTGTATCAGTGACACAACAGCGAATCCAGAGCACCAACTCTTTCAAGTTAAAGCACACTCTTTCTACTGCCATTCAGGTTCTGACAATGTTTATATTCTTTAAAATGTGAGGGGTTTTAGTTTGCATGTATTTTAAAAAAAATTTACCCCAGAGGCAATGTCATTTCCAAGAGCCAAATGACTCTTTTCTTCTTGTATATTATAGAATGGAGCATTTGCAAAAGTCATTACAACTCTCACATTTGAATCAATTTCAGACTAATGTCCTGTTATCCAAGGTTGTTGGTTATTTTTTGGAATTATTCTGGGTGATTTTTAAATTGGTGTGTTCTTTGCTGTTACTGTTAGAATTGTATGAAACATCTTGTTTGCAGAGCTGTGAAACGCTTTAAAGGCAGCAATTGAAATGATGAGGCATTGTCCAAATTGAAATTTATTTAATCCAAAACAGTGTCCTGAACATCCAGGTGGTAATAAACATTTTTCAACCGCATACAAACTGTGAATTGTATTTGAAATTAAATCTCCACATTAAAATCTGCATTGCTGAGCCTCCCGCTGGCAGCTACCGTTCTTCTGAAAAGTGACATCTTCTCTGGCACTGGTGGGGTGAGAGTTCTTGCACGGATGTCACCAAATGATTTCCTATCACTCTTCGGATGTTGGGACTTTATAGCCATGTATGCCTAAAAAGTACAAAGAATCCAAGGTGTGTGAGGGGACCACCTCAGATTTAGTAAGTATAGATGGTTTTGTCCAGACACACAAGGGTGGAAGCCGTTTTATAAACCTCTATTAAAGCAGCATATTGCTGATGTCACAAATTATGTCATTTTTCAGCAAGCTGTTAGGTAGCAGCAGGATACTTAGAGGTCCCAATCTGAGTTCACAGCTTGAGGCCCCATTATCCATTGAAGTCAAGGAAATACTCCAGTCCCCTGGCCCTCTGTTTACAAATAATATATCAAAATCAGGATGCCCACAGCTGAACTTTCAGGCACTGAGCTAAAGGAAATATATTTGTGTGTGTATATTTCTACACATAATATATACGCATACTAAATATTAATCTATTTGTACATGTGCATGTGTGTATTTGTGAGTAATGCAACTGAAGTCTGCAGTTTGACATTAGATTTTCTGTAAACAAGCGTTTTTCATTATTCCTTGATATATAGAGCTGATCCTTCATGGCCAATTTCACACACAGAACCCCTACCAAAGTTAGAGATATCCACATCAAAAAGGGGTACAAAGTATCCCCACTTATTTTTCCTTTTAAAAACAGTGAGGGTATAAAAGAAATCTGATTTAATAAAATGTACAGTGGAAGAGATTTATCTATAATGGAGTTGAGAGAACTGTGCAAAATAAAATAACGCAAACGTCTATACACGTACTCGTTAGTACAGCAGAACAGCTTGTTGGAGGCTCTCCTCATCTCCTGGACAAACCACATTTACTCAGATATGTCTTTTTCCCTCATTAGAGTCGAATATGCCGTTGTGTTTTTCTCACAATGCCCATGTACTTGGGAGACAACAGCCTACATTAGAAGACATAAAATACATAGTATGTGGCCTGAGGTTGTGAAACAGCTGAAGAGAAGGAATTAAATTCAAAGCTAGCAGTGCCAAACTCATCAGTGGGTGCTTTTACCCCCCCTCCCCACGTATTAGTGGGAGCCAAAGATGGAGTGTCAAGGCACAGCTTTGAATTTCCTGACTTTTGCCAGCATGCTAACATCACTCCCCTAGCAAAATGAGGGTCCTGGCAGGGAGATGGATTAGATGGCCAAACATGGCATTTTTATCCCCACAGTCTCTCCCTCCACCAATTCCAGTATTTTGCTACTTATTTACTGACCTAGTTGGTTGTAACTTGCTCTACTGGAAATATTACGGGGTTGGATTAGCTTCTCCTCTATAGTATATCCCTGATTTAATTACCATTGCAGCTATCCCCCACTATCTGCACCATAAATGCTGTTGCTTACAGAAACATGATTACAGGATTAGAGTTATTGGGCCCTCGCCCAAATGAACACAGTGACACAGCATAGCACTGGCACCTCTGAAAGCTACACTGACCTCAGGCATCTCTACATCAAAGGCCACGGCCACAATCTGAGCTTCATTAGCTTTCAAGGCTGAAGTTACAGGAGTACTACTTCCTCAGCCACTAATGGGAAACACTCTCCTCCATTTGCTGTTGAGGTGTTAAAAGTTCCTCTTAACATCAGTTACTGAGCTGCAGCTTCACTGGTATCCCAGTAAAATAAAAATGAGTTGTGGAGTGGGAGCTGAGTTCAAATTGAAAAGCTATGTTAGATGATCCTTACTCAAGCCAAAGGCAGTCGCCAGCGCAGGAATACTTTGTGAGGAAGGACTACAGGGGGAGGTGCAGCCCAAATCCCAGACTGGGAGCCATAGGGAAATTCCCACAGCTCCTGAAAGGTTTCATATGGTTGTAACCAACTGTTTAATGACTGAGGTATCTGAAGGATGCTCTGGTTTTCATTTGTAGGATGTGATGCAGATGATTATGCAAACAGGGAGAGCTTGGCAGCTAGAGCTAGCTGCGACTCAGAGCACAGGCATCATCGGGTCCACATTCACCACGAGAAATCTATGAACTGTGGTGATAACCCCTCTAGCCAGCCTGGCTGATCTGCACCCACAAAGAGCAAACCTGGGAGGTAACATTTAATTCCGCAGAGAGAAAAACTAATCAGACAGAGAACCACAAGGCGACAAAGCACTGGGTAGGACCAAACTGAATTTTTGCTCCTAGCATACGCCTCCTGCGTGGAAATGTCTGTTAAATTTTGGTGTACATTGGTTCCTCTTTGCACAGCTGGAACATTAGTATTTCCTGTCTTGTTTATTTAGATGATGCATTCTGGGACATAAGTCACCTCTTACCATGTTTGCACAGTTCTAGCAAAGTCATTTGGGGCTTTCAGTCATTACCCTAATTGAAGAAACCAGGTAAGTGTCTAGATGATGTGAAAGACCTCAATAAGAAATTTAAAAAAATTAAAAAATAAAAAAATTTTTAAAAACCCACACGAGTTAAAAAATAGAGGAAAATAGAAGCTAGAGGATTTACAGTGAAGGGCTTGCTTTTATTTCTTCAGTCCAACTAGTCTTCTCTGGTGCTTTGCCTGGGGTATTGTAATTTCTACTTTTTGAGCCGGTGCTGAATAAAGTGACTTACCCATGAGCCTCCCAGCTGGGACAGCAGGATAAGGTGGGCTGGTCAGGTGCTGCCAGGGATAAGGCTACGAAATTACCCAGCTGGCCTCTGGAACTAAGCTGTTCCTTCTCTTCAGGAAGTAGGAGACTTACCCAGGTCTGAGGAGCTCCTTGTGGCTGGAAGATTTTGCAGAAGATATTAGCAGGTTCATGTGCTGGCTCCAGAGTTTTCTCCACCTCTCATGTTTGATAAATCTCAGAGGCTTACTTCAGTTGGCAAGTTTAACTTAATTTCTTGGGTTTGTTCTGCCCTAAGCATTCTGTTCACGTTATCAGAGCTCCTTTCAGTTTCCCAAGCTTTGGGCTGGTTTAGGAACTGAGGCACAATTAGAAACTAGAGTAAGAAGAATTCAGTTAATTTTCAGCTAAGCACCTTTACACCACAGAGATTTACAATACAACATTTATTTCCTGGGAAGTTGTCACTGGATTTCCTTTTAAATTAAATTACCAATATTCAAAGAAATAGGAAATTCCTCCTTATGTGTACACTTTTCATGAATAACTGATTCTTTCCAGGCTTTCCCTTTGGAGGGTGGTGACCCCCAGCTCAAGCACTGCAACAGCTCTCTGATCGGTGATGGTTTAAGTATTGCAGCAGCAGCCACTCCTGTTGCAGCAGAAATCCAAGCCCATTGCTTTGCAAATTCGGGGTGTATGTGATGTTAATTAGAAGCACTCACTCCCTTTACTGAGTCAGGGGTAGTGTGTAGGCATAGGTTGACCCAGGGAGAGTCAAGAGGGCTCTTCTTCCTGTCAGCACCAGAAGCTGCAGCACTATTATTACACGAGACAGATACAGCTCTACAGTTGTTTTCATTTTCATTACCTTAATTATTTTCATTCATCATTTTTATAATTTTCATCATTTTCTCACTTTTGGACAGGGCAGCACATGAAGCACGGTAGGGTAAGTGGACACAAGAAAGGATGACAGTGGGTACTGTGGTCCAGGTGAGAGTGTGGCTCTCTAGAGCTGGCATGGTTTCCAGAGGTGATGTACACCAGTCTTTGGTGTGACTCTCCTATTGTCGCTAATGATTATTGCTGTAATAATTTTAATGTGCTCAAAGCTCTGTGGAAAGGTCCAATCCAAAGCCTAAAAAGTTGACAGGAATTTTGTATTGAGGGGAGCCCGGATATACAATGTTTAAAAGATCCAGAAATAAAGATTTCTAAGATTGTCTTTATATAAGAAAATAAAATGGGGAAGAAAACAGCTTCTCTCTTCCTCTGACTTGACAGCATGCTTTGATGGAAAACAGGGAGGTGATCTCAGGAACACTTGCTCCAGCCTCCTGTTCATAAGTAGCAGGAAGGCCTGTCAAACCTGTCAAACTCCTTGAGCTCCTGGGGTTTACAGACTTCTCTCAGCTACCCCAAGCAAAACCACAATCCCATAAAGAAGCCTTTTCAGCAAAACCTTCTGCCATTTGCCTGAAGCCAACAAATCACTCGTTTAAAAAAAAAGCAGCTATTTCTCATTCGGAAACATCCCTTCCTCCTGTGCTCACTCTCTACTGGTGAAGCCCCAAGCAATGGCCTTGCAGCACCAGGTTTTTGCAGAAATCTGCCACCATAGAGCCCAAAATCTGTAGTCTGTACAGGGACCAGTCTCGCTGGTCCAAGGAGAGCCTGGCTTGAGTAAAGACTGCAGAAATGATCACCTGGCTTCAGTCAGAGTGCAAGGATGGCTTGCATCCATTCCTGTCCCTCGCCTCTTGGTGGACTTAGATCTGAGCTTCTTGACTCCAGCTAGCTGCCAAGGTGCATGTCCCACACCATTTGCTGAGAGGTCTAGAAAAGATGTCCGTGCTGTCTGGTCTTTACCCTTCCTTTCATTCTAAATATTGCCCCATCCTTTCCCTGAAAGGTGCTGTGAAAACAAAAGCTCTTAGATCATCGCCACCAGTCCCAGCCTTTGTCTTCCTGCTACACCCACTGGCTGCCAGTCTCCAAACTCACCTCTGTTCCTGCCCTGCCAGCATATGGCTGATGGAAAGCTTCAGTGCCACAGACCCAAGACTCCACTTGGCCACAGAACAAATCTCTGCAATTCCCAGTTCTACAGCTCTGTTACAGCGTCTAATCCAGTGACAGAAAAAACTAGTCCCAAAAGAAGAGGGAAGGCATGAAGCACAGAGTCACTTTGGGAGGCATTATTTGATTTATTTGAATGAAGTTGTAGAGGCACATTCTGCCCTGAGTGATCATGGGTTTGTCAGCTATTTTTCAACATCATTTTGGTCTTGTCCCAACTGGCATATGTCTTTGGCAACTGTCGGACTAGCTATATGTCAAATCATGTTCTTTGATTTATAGGTGGCAGATAGAGGACAAGACACCGTAATTTTTTCATGTACTTGCTGAAAGTAAAAGAATCACAAGTCCATCATGGCAGAACCATAACAACATCATATTAAATAAAACAGTGATTCTGTGGCAACTTCAAGCTGCAATTTATTCACAATATGGGAGACACACTCTGGCAAGAGTTAAGCAGTCATCAGTGCATGTATCACAAGGGCAGAGGTATAGCAGAAGCAAATCTGTTGACAACACAGTACACAATGATATCATAAAAACTGAAGCAGAACTTAAAACATACCCTGAAATACAGGTTTTGGAAGCTGGCACTTAGCCTGTGCTAGGAGCTGAAATCTTGTTTCATTTTACATCTGTTCTAACTTAGCATGCAAAAATCCACCTATGACCACCTGATGCAATGCTTGAAAAACCCAAACCGTATTTAAGGTCTAGTTTTTAAAAGGTATTCATGTGAAACAGAGAGGGGAGTGGTTTTCTATAACCTTATAAACAGCTAAAAACTATTCAGCAGAGGCTGCAGTGCTCATACTACGTGACAAAGGAACATTACATGGGCAGTATTATACTTGTTCTGCAAAATATGAAATCAAAGTGAACAGAAGAGAAAATCTAACATACTTCCTTAGGACTTAGACTCACTGATTCCAATTAAGCCCTTTAATAGACACAAGCAGATATATGACGGAAAACATGAATTAATCTCCAATTCATTAGCCAAGTTCTCACGGCAAAGGGACTTCTCCGTGGCAAAGGGACACACACGTGTTTCAAGATAATATCCATTCACAACAATGGACTTTTCCAGAAGCAGTGCATAGCCCTATATATTAACAAGCACATACAACTACTCTATTTGTTCATTTTATAAATGTAGCTATATGAAAGAATATGAGTGTAACAAGTGACAGAAATATTTTAAGATGCACTAACAAGAAAAACCTGCCTGTCTTGAAACTCTTTTCCCTAATGCTTGATGTTTTTCTTGAGAACAACCATTGTAGTTCAGGATGGGTAATGGCCACCAAGCCAGGAATCCTGTCTCTAAGGGCGTGTGTGCTGGGTGCCTAACGAAAAGGATAATGGTATTCACTGACACCTCCAGTACAGTTCTACAACCCACTCACCTCCTCCAGCTGTAAAAGACACCAAGCTACACCAGCTCATCACACTGTCTCATACCCTGCAACAACAATCGTCTGTATTTTGTATGGGCCAGAGTCCTTATAAAAAGTTCACACAATGAGCAATTAGGACAAATGATCCATATACATGAAACTTGAGCAACTAAGAGTGGTCACTCAGTCATGTGGAAGTCTGTGCTTTGGGTGTTACATAACATTTTCTAGTATAGCAAGGCTTGAAAAGCTACAGAGAAAAGTTGGAAAATGGTTCATAGTTCTGATAAAACAAGCAGTGTCCTCAAAATCGTATTTACAAGAAAAAAGCAGCCAGTACTTTGCCTCAGGTTCCTGCATGATTCACTAAAACCGAGGGCTGATGCACGAGGGGGTTAGAGGGAGGCAGAACAGATCCTGGGACTGTTCACTTTGTCTCGTAAAGTGTTGACAGGATACACAAAACCCGTGCACGCTCAAGGCAGCCATGCTGGCTTCTGCTCCACTGGAAAGAGAAATGTTTGCCACATGGAAGCAGAAAACATTGGCAGGAAAATAACTATAATTTCTAAATTTGAAAAGGAGTGTTGCAAGCAGAAAAAAAAAATAAAGGAGGGGAGGAGGGGAATAACATTCACCTGGACTCTGATTTCACCTTCAGGCTCTGACCCTATGATGGGTACATTAGAAATTTGTGAAAGAGAGCCTAAAGGTAACTTCTGAATGCAAGATAGGAGAAAAGTGTGTGTATCCATCACCTGTGGGCTGGGATGAGGACGAACAAGTGCTTCTTGGAGGAAGCCAATGCACCTCTCCCATAGCAGTTAGCAGCACAGAGAGCTGGCTGATGTTATAGATGTATATGGTGTGCATGTGTAGTTATATACGTACTTACTGGGAAAAAGCAGTGTCAGAAGCCCCAGCTGTAACATGCACTCTGCAAATGTTGATCCTTCTACATTTCTCTTCACTTCTACCTTGTATCAGCTTAAGACTCAGAAGAAAGACAAAAAGGCACATTTATTTCTAGCCAGTGCCATCAGAGAGTGACTAAACCTTATGAGCCATTTTGTCTCATCTACAGCCTTCCACGCCTGTTGTTATTTGCCTCCTGAGCCTAAGGGAAACCTGCCCTTGGTGGTATGTTCTTTGTTATTCTTTCAATTTCCTTGTCTTTTATTTATTTCCCTTGCCTCTAAAGAGCCGTTCAGAAGTCCCATTACTTCCTGCTGACCAGGGAAGGCTATGAGAAAAAATAGTTATATTGGATTAAAATACACACACTATCGCAAGAAAAACAGAGGGAAGGGGGCAGGGGAATTCCTTAGCAAAGGGTGGTGGAAGTCATGAGACAGAGAGCTGAGACAGAAATATTCAAGTGGGGTTTTATGTCAAGGCTTGTTTTAGACATGAACTCTGTGAGGAACAGAGCATCTGAATTCTTACCATGGTGGTGCTACAATTTGAACCTGCATATATTCAGTGTTTTCTTTGGATTTTAAATAAAATTTTGTTTGAAATAATGCAAATTACAGTTCTTGGCAGTGTGGATTCTCCTACCCGTACTGGTGGAGGACTGGTAGCTGTTAGAGTAGAAAGTGGAGAGCTTACACACAGCCTACTTCCACTCTGCAGCAAAGGTGCTGCATGGACCATCATCTTCAAGAAAGACAACATAATTGCTAAAACAATGGACATCATTAGCCCCCCATCTCCGGGGCAAATGAACCCTGTGGTCCACGCTTGAGCCAGGCTACAGCAGATTGTATGTGCTGTATTTGGAAATTTTCCTTTCTATCATCTGTTAAAAAATTATTAGCAGGTGCTGAAGACTGTGACCTCCAACCTGGAGACCTAGAGCCAAAATACCAGAGGGGAAAAAGTCAGTTCTTGAAAAACGCCTGATTCCAGGGTTGGATGAGCCAGAGATACAATCTGCTGCTATGGGAGATGCCACATTAGAGGAGGGAAGTGGTAGCACCTCATGCAATTAGTCTTAATTTTCTTTTTTTTTCTTCTTTGAAGCTACAAGTGACAAGAGCCAATTCGCTGCCTCTGTGAAGTTATAAGCCCGGTTGGTGATCCTTTCTGTTGCCATAAAAGAGTTAGACCAGCTTGAAGCTGATCAAAAAAGGTTAGGCTACCTGTGTACCACCCAGAATAACATACTAAAGTCATTTACCATTTACTGTGTAAATGGCACACTGCTATGAATGTATATCTCAGTGAACACAGGAGAATAAACTCTTACATGCCATGCAATTATACACACACTAGTGTAAAAACGAGCTGATATAAAATAAATATGCATATAGCTATGCCTTTGCCTATTCCAGCCCCTGGGTTACAGCATTGCCAATGTGTTGACATAAAAATGCAGTTTTATGGATTACATCTAAGTAGGAATGTGTGAAAAGGGATTTTGTTTTGGCTACAGCCCAGTCTCTTAATATAATTATAATTACTATTTTTACTACTACTGCTACTACTACTACCACAGTGAATTGAGAGCCCCCTTGGTTCTACTTATGGTACACATAACACGAACAAGCCTGACCTAAAAAACAGAAGAGATGAAAGAGAGACAGACGCAACGTGGTATCTCCCACGTGGAGTAACAGGACAGGAAGTGGATCCAGGCTTCAGCTCTCTTAAATTCCAGTCCCCGGTGTGGCCTAGTCCCTCTCTGTGATGATAGGGCTTTCTCAGGGAAGAAAAGAGGGGGAAGAGTACTTTACTGATGGAAAGGGAAGAGTGGCTTTTGTTGTGATCAGCGTGGTCCTGCTCGGCATTTTGCAGCATTGAGCATCGGTACAGGATGTACTGCGTGTCCAGGGCTGGTGGCCTTGGTTGCATCTGGACAGCTTCCCTGTGACACTGCAGGCCACTGTGGTGGCAGCTCTGCAGCAGAGGCAGCAGCTTGCTCAGGTCACAGATACACTACAGAATGTGTGAAGGCAAGAGCCAAGCAAGTGCCTCTTTTCCCCTCTCTCTTTTCACCTGCCTGCCTTTATTACGGCCATAGCACGAGTCGTTGCACTGTGTTTCAGCCTGAAAATCAGAAATATTTCTCTTGTTCACTCCTTGACAGTGTGTTAATATAGAAGAGTTTTTTAAAAGTCTTTCCCAGGACAAAAAAATGCACTTAGAGCACCATTTTGGCATTTCCTAGGTCTCTTGTCGCTTCATGCTGGGGTCTGCTGGGTGCTTTATGAAGAACCCTCTTAAAACCAACGTTAATCATGAGCCCACAAAGACAGGAATCATCCCCCCATGGCCATTGCTTTATAGCAGCCATGCTTATTCAGAGATAGCTATTTTCTGCCAACTCTGGGGCTCGAAAAATGAAATAAAATAAAACAAGAGCACACTATCTCGCCCTCCCCTTTGCAAAAGAAACATTTTGAGAGAGAGGGGCAGAAAACACAAAGTGAGCCTACCCAGCAAACGGCAGTGGGCTCATGAGGACTAGGAAAGCTGTTTGCCAGGAGGCCAAATGGTTTGCCTGCAGCTCCAGAAAAAGACATGTTATTTGGTGCTGAAAATCATTTAAAGAAAACAAAGGATGACTGCAACATGCCTGCCCATGATCGTCTGGAGCACTGTGCTGTTGTGGGATACCTAAGCCAACCAAATGGCAACAAAATACCAGCGCGTAGATCAGGGCTACCTGGTTGTACACAGGCACGCCTGCGAGACCAGCCTCCAACAGCTCGGCACACGTTCGCTAACGCCTCGAACCCTGAGGAGGGGAGGATGTCGTTCTCATTATCTCCATTTTACAGGTGTTGAAAGGGAGGCTGGGGAGATCTGCCACCAAGGAGGTCTGTCAGAGCTGGGATTAGCCGTTATGGGTCCCAGCTTTCAGCCCCATGCATCGACCGTGTCTCTTGGAACAGATCTGGGGGAAGATTTTTATTTCTCTGACACAAGAGAGAGAAAAAAAAATACCTTCCAGCTTCCACTAAGGGAATTATTTCTTCCTACCAATGCCGTGTTGAATTGTCTTAAGGGACCTTTAGGATTAGCTGAGTTAGAAACCCATATTGTCAATTAAAACTTAATACCACCCCAAAGAGACTCAAAAGAAGATACCCTTTTGGAAACAAGAATAATCAAGTTTTCACAACTTAGACTTTGGCACCAATTTAGACTTGGGATTTGGGAAAACCTGTAATGATCCTGCTCTACTTGCTGTCCACATAGTCACATATATCAAATGATTTGCATGTAAACCCCTCCAAAAAAATTACTTTGGTCTACATTACCCCCAAATATCGCTCCTCTTTTGGAGTTTCTCTTTCCAACTATCCAGCATCAATCCATCTCTGAAATGCTTCAACACCAAAAGGAGTGTGAAGATTTCCTACCTCATTACTGCCTTTCAAAGGCAGCCACAACCACAAAAAATAGACCTCAGGGAAGGGGGAGAAAATCTCTGCATGCTCAAGCAGAGCCCCACCTGCCAGTTATCCCCTCTCCTTTGTGCTTTGAAGAAGCATCTCACCTCTTACAAGGGAAACAAGTTTGTCATGGAGGGAGATGTGGTTAGTAATTCTGTCTGTGTTTCCCTCGCCTCCTCTGAGCTGATGATGCCGTGGGCCCAGTGCTCCCTCCCGTGCTACAAAAAGAAAGAGTCAGTCTTGAACCAGACTGACTCCCTGGCATCCCTGATTCCTCCCAAGCCACACATTTTCCAAATTGTCCTTTAAAAATGCAGGGCTGGTGCCTGACGAGATGGTTAGCCAGCAGCAACTGGACCATGACAGAATTGAGAGTTCACAACCTGGCAACACAGTTCTGTCTCTGAAATGTAATAGATCCCATTATGAACTCCTACCTCAAAGACTGGAGTTTCAAATAATCTTTCATTCCAAGATAATGTCCTCTGTATTTCAGCATTAGTGAAGCTTAGTATATGATCTGTTCCTGGCCCTTCTCAGCTATCAGAGATATCCTCCCAATGCCCTGTTTGCTGCTTTAATGCTGCCTCAGTTAATAACACCTGCTGGAGAGACAGTAGCATCTCTTGGCAAACTAAACGTGCACAGTCTCAGGAGTCAAAATCTGAATATGTATAGAGCACGTAAGTAATCATTAATGCATAGCACATCCCCTCTGGTCATTGAAATAAATTACTGACATCAACATCACCAAGAAATAAACCAGGTGCCACCCCAATGGTTGAGACTCTATAGGTAAGTGTAAATTATCAGAGTGCTTCAAAATTTCTAAACCTCCTGAAAACAAAGGAATAATCACACAGTGCCAGTGTAAAGATGTTTGTGTGCACATATATGTCTGTGTTTAAGCATGTGCATGTATGCACACTTTAATGTTTGCACGCCATCATGTTGTGACCTTAATCTTTTTATTTTAAATGGCTGCTAAAGGATCCTATAGCATCTATATATGGACAGCCAAGTTTCGCACTTGCCATGCCAATTTTTATTGCCACAGAGTCTAAAAATTGCTTCTTGAAAAGTGTAATCCTGGTTTTACCTCTATATTTTAAAAATCATTTTCCCGTGTATTATCTTCTCACAGCTTTATACATTTACACTTTCATTCTCCAGATGCCTTGAGTAGAATGCTATATCCCTGAACAGAAATATATTCCCCCCTGCAGGAGCCTGGTTCATTCAGAAACAAGGAAAAAAATATGAATTATTGTTTTTAAATTCCCCAACGTGCAGAGCTCAGACAAGCCACAGATGCAAATGTGGAAAGCAAATGTAGTGCTGGCATCGGGAAATGGCTGGGTTCACTGCACTTGTAAGCAAGCACCTTTATTTAGGCATGTTTGTAAGCTGCCATTTTCATATAATCCCTGGTTTTCTGGACTGGTACACAGAAGCTGGCACGACACATCTACCATAGTCCCCTGTAGTTCCCAGCCATCAATCAAGCACATTCTACCAGCACTGATCTACACTCACTCCCAGAGCTGGCAGCCATGGACAAGCCTGCACATCCATGTCACCAGCAGTTCAC